GCAGGAACGGACGGGGTTTTCCCCAAGGCCTTGTACTTGTGCGGAGAGGTCATAAGAGGACCTGGGAGTCTGGCTTACGCATCTCGTTTCCTCAGTGACACCTTTAATAGCACAACTTTCTGGAAAGAAAAATGAAAGAAACCTAATGAAAGCGCACACTGGGGCCCAGGGTTCACTTCTGTTTCTCTGTCGTCAGTAGCCTAATGCAGGGGCCGCACAGGTGTGTGCGGGCGGGCACTGCCTGTTCTTTCTTGGAGGCCCGGCCTGGGCTCCAAGGAGCACCCGGGCGCTGAGTGTGAAGACACTCTCAGATGTGAAGGGCACCTCCCATATACAGGCCAAACACCGCCTGCTGTACTTGGTCTTCCGGATGTGCTGCAGCCCCTCAGGAAAAGGTCCAGAACCTCTACTGGGAGTTCTGACAGTGACTCTGCCTTTTGCCCAAGCAAGACCCTTTGGGAAGGAGATACTGTCTTATCACTGTTTACAGAAATTAATGAGAGCTCAGTTTCCATTCATCTTTTGAGATGAGATTTTGCACTGGAAGACCTTGAAAAAGTCAGTCATGATTTGTTCTGGGAAAACTGAGGCCATCTCAAGCCCCAGAGAAGGCGTGAGGAGGCCCTGGGTTCTCCCACCTGGTCTAAACCTAGACTCCACCTGGCTCCGGTGTTTCGGCAGCCTCCCCTGCCCCTGGGTGCAGACTTGCTGACATTTAGCTCCCTGCTTCCGGCGCTCCCTCCCCGGACACTGGAGTCCCCTCTGCTACTTATCTATTGCTATATTCGCATCTGCCCCACTCAGGAAGTGCAAGTTTAATAATAGTCGGGCATCTCAGGTAACCAAGGGTTCACCTCCCTTTTCTGACGAGCAGCCCTGATGAGAACTTGAGTCCCAAGAGGAATTCCATTCCCTTCCTTTCCCCTCTGCTTCCTTCCTCCTGAAGCGAGGGCTGAAGTGGGCACAGCTTCTGAGTGCTGAGAGGCGGAAGGCTCTCTCCGGCCAGAGCTGAACTGGAGTGGAATCTCTGGGCACTAGAACATGGCTAGTGAGGAAGCACTACTTAGATTCCTGCCCAGCCAGGATTCGCTGTGTGACCTCGGACAAGATGCATAACGTCTCTGTGACCCATTTACCTCATCTGTGAAGAGGAGACAATGAAAGTACCTGCCTCTGGAGATTATTGGGAGGAGCCAGTGAAGTCGTTGGTGCAGAGGGCTTAACACATAGGAAGGGCTTTATAAAGGTGACTTGTTTCATTGTGAAAAGAAGTTCGGGGACATCACGTGGGTTAATCTGTAGGGATGTGGGCGGGGTATGCAATGAGATGTGTGCGACCCCCTCCTCCCCTCAGTGCCGGCAGTTTCCTCAAGGGGAAAATTAGGTTAAAATAAAGCTCAAGATGAGGAAGGGGCAAAGGCGCAAGTGGGCAGCCTTGGCGTGGGTGCTCAGAGGGGTGACAGCTCTCGGTGGTGGTACAGGGTTCAGGGCCATCGTGGACTGATTTTTCTGGACGCAACGAGCGGCTTTCTTTAGCTCCTCTGGTCTCTCCACACAGAGAGGCCTCTCTGAGGCTGCCCTGCAGGGACGGGGCGCTCAGGGAGGGCCGGGGACTCTGGTCCAATTTATCCTAGCGCTGAGATAGTCTGGTTCGTATTTTGTCATTATTGTTGTTTTTCTGGTTGGTATTTACTCAGGTAAATATTCTGAATGGGGCATATTGGATTCTTTTGACTCTCTTTCTGCCCTACTGGGTTACAGGCTGTTCCTAGACGCACCAGGAAACGGCACCTAGGACAGGTCATTAAGTTGCAGGAAACTGAGTTAGAGATTCAGCAGAACAAGATGGCAAGAGTGGGTCTCATATTCCAAAGAGGGCCATTTGCTCTGCAGCTGAAGTATTCTCTGGCACCCAGGAGGTGCCCACTGCATGCCTGTGGAATAGATCACTTTCTAACTCTATCACTTTGCTTGTCAAGTCACGAGGGCAGAGACCTATATTCAGGATTTTTACTCTCTCTCTTTGCCCTAGCAGGATTCTGGACTTGAAACAGGACCTCAGGAAATAAGTTGTAGAATTAAAACTGGGGGGTACACAGTGGAATGACACCGTTATTACCTATAATCCACCTGTAAGATACCCTGAGGATCCTACCTGGGTCCTGACGACTCTATGCCCAGAGAAGACTGAAAAGAAAATGAAAAAGCCTTAGCAATTGAACTTCACCTCTAACTGTCTAGGTGACCTTAGCCGGTCACTTTATTTTTACCATCAGTTTTATCATCAGGAAAGGGAAGGCCTGGGACTGGATGATTCCTTCCTAGAGGCCTGTCTTGGCCTCAACGCAGCAGGTCAGGGTCAGAGCCGGGACCTGCCAGGGACCCTTTCTCTGCCATAGATTCACTGTTTAATTGGGAAAGGCATGGGGGCCCTCCCAGCCCCTACACCTGTCATGGGTTTCCGGTCACCCTCAGGTTTGAAATCGCTGAGAATGCACCTCGGGGTCAAGGGCAGTAGGCAGGTTTTGGCTTGATTCAGGGAGTCCTGGGCTGAATCCCTGAGTGTTAACTAACACAGAACTTGGGCGTGTTATTAACCTCTCCAGACCTCAGTTTTGTCACCTCTAAAATGGACATAATAATTACACCTGCCTCACGGGTTGTGATCAGGATTGAAAGATAGAACTGATTGATATTAGTATTATAATTTCATGGTTCAATTAGACACAACAGAAACTATTGAGCCTTCTTCACCTCATCCAGATTGGGCTTCGCCAGCCCTCCGTGTATCTGCTTGTCTGTCTGTCATAAATATTCTCCTTTGCTTCCTAGATTCAATGCTTTGAATAGTGACAGTGTCCTTAGTTGGTGTTACCTCTATTTGTATCCACCATGCTTAGGTTTTCATCCCACATCCTATGATTGTGGTTTGGACAAGTGGGAGATGTGTCTCTCTCTAATACTCTCATTTTGGGGAAATAATGTACTATATTTTTTTCCAGACAGCTGAGTCCAGACAGGCTTTCTGAACCAGCAGGCACAGACAGACATTTTCAGAGGGACTGAACCTTGAGCCTGATTTTTCTGGGAATCCAGCTCATGAGGAACCAACAGATTAATCCTCGCCTGAGGTGGCAGGGACGGGGGCACGGGGCAGCCCTCCGGTGTGAAGATCTGTAAGGCCGGAGAATCTTTCCTGCCCTGGATTAACTGTTTAATTGGTGAAGGTGTGCAGGCCTGCTTTGGTTTCATTGTAGGACGCTGAGATTGTCGGCTGTAGACTTTGAATCTAACATGTTTAGGGACCGTCATCCCTGTGACTGCTCTAACAGGGTACCACAAACCTGGTGGCTTAAAACGGGAGAAGTATCTTCTCTCACAGTCCGGAGGCCAGAGGTCTGAGTCAGGGTGTTAGCAGAGCCACGCTCCCTCCGGAGGCTCCAGGGCAGACTGCTCTTGACCGCTTCTAGCTTCTAGCTTCTGCTGCTTGCCAGCTTCCTTGGCTCGTGGCCGCTTCACTCTGACCTCTCGTGTGTGTGTGTGTGTGTGTGTGTGCGTGTGTGTGTGTGTGTGTGTGTGTGTGTGTGTGTGACTGTGTTCTTCTGTCTTTTGTAAGGACACTTATCACTGGATTTAGGGCCAACCTAGGTAATCTAGGACAATCTCATCTCAAGACCCATAACATAATTACATCTGCGAAGACGCTTTTTGCAAGTAAGGTCACATGCAGAGGCTCCAGGGGTTAGGGTGCAGGCGTATCTTGGGGGTCCACGGTTCAGCCCACTACAGCACGTTCTTGGAGGAGGGGAGCGTGGAAGCAGACAGAGCACCCCTGGGTGGATCTTCTGGAGGAACGGCATAAGCCCCCCAACCCCAACCTCCCCCCACTTCACACGTGGCTTGTCACCTGACAGTTCTCACCTGTTAAACTCACCCAGAGTGCACACCGTGTGCGAGCACCGTGCTCCGCGCTTGTGCTGATGTAATAATTATAGTCATGTATAATATTTCCTTTCAGCTTCACAGCCAGGCCTTGTCCCCCTCCCTCCCTGGCTTACAGATAAGAACACAGGAGCAGAGGTACCTGCAGACTGTAGGGCCCCCCTAGACGCAGGGGAGCTGCTCGGAGCCCCTGCAGTTGTCTTCCATTCCCCCAGCTCTCATTCATCTCTAATACAAACCAATGTCCTGGGCAGGGTCTGGATGTGCCTGTAGGTGTCTGAGCCTCAGCATACAGACCCCAAGTGCTTTACTGTCATTCAGGAAAACTGGCGAGGGGCACCTGCCAGCTCAGGTGGCAGAGCCAGACCGCCTGCTGTGCCTCTTCCCTGCTGTGTGAACCTGCACAAGTCACTTGGGCTCTCTGGGCCTCCGTTCCCTCATCTGTAAAATAGGGACGGCAATAGTACTTACCTCTTGGGGATATTTTAAATGACGAAATGCATCTGTGTGTGTGTGTGTTGATACGTATTATATGTCAAGTGCCGATAATGGTTCTGGGCACGTAGTAAGGGCTACGCGCTGTTTACTTAAAAACAAAACCACAGAATAGCACCGAAGAGCTTGCGTGTGGTTCCTGTGGTCCCTCCAGCTGTGACTCAGTGGGTGGGGCCGGGCAGTGCGCTTTGGGCTCCTCAGGAGGAGGGCGGAGCCTGTGGAGGCATCGAGGCAGTGAGACGCCAGGCCTGCTGAGCGGTCACTGGTGGAATGGGAACCCTCTCGAAGGCCGGCCCCTCCCGGGTCCTAGCCAAGATCGCTTGCTCATAAAAACACCAACAGGAAGGGAGGCTGAGCTCTAAAGGCTGCCCCGCACGTGGGCGGAGAGCAGTCTGTCCAGGGGCTCCAGGCCCGTACGCGCCTGGGGACCATGGTGGGCACCTGAACAGGAGGGTGTGCTGGCTGCCGCCGTGACCTTGGCCCTTTTTCACAGCTCTGGGCTTGAATGGATCGTGAGATCTTTGTCACACAGACCCACTCACAGCTTCTCTTTCTCCTCACAGGCCGATGCTGCTACCAGCTTTCTGAGGGCAGCAAGATCAGGTAACTTGGACAAAGCTTTGGACCACCTGCGGAATGGGGTAGACATTAACACCTGTAATCAGGTAAGTGAGATGCAGGGTGCAGGCAGGCATGTAGTCTCTGAAGAGCGGCTCTTGCCTGGTGCCCTTTCCTGAAGGCTTGAATCTGCCTCTGTTCACCTTTTCCCAGTGGCCTCAAACATCCCTCGGGGCTCCCGCCCGCTGAAGGCCCTAACCTTCAGCAGGGCGGGAGTTTGTGGCCCTGCAGCGGCCCAGGGCCCCATAGAGAAGCGCTGGTGCCCGAACAGTGTGGGCTGCACCCGGCTCCATCCCCTGCCGCCTCTCCCCTTAGAAGTCTCCGGCTGGTCCCTGCTCAGTCTTAAAATTTGTGGCCTTTGAAAGTGGGCTGGAGGAAGGGCCTTTGAAGGATGCTGTGTCAGTGGTGACATTCATCTCCTTTGTCCACCAGCGGGCTTTGTGGGTGTGCTGCTGGGCTGAGAAGGAAACAGTGCTGAGGACTTGCTCTGTCCTATGCTGACAGAGACTGAGAACTAGTGCGGCTGAAAGGGCTTCTCTGGATGTTTCTGGTGCTGAGTGACAGGGCTTGGTTTGGAGAGGGGGAGGGGACTGAAAGTGTGCGGGATGGATCGGAAGACAGAGAGTCAGGTTTGGGGCCAGAAATCTAGGCACTGACTGAATAGAGAGCATCTTACTCCCAAGGAGGAGGACAGGGGTGTGGCTAGGGCCGTGGATGGATGACTTTTGTTGTGTTTGTTTGTTTCTGCCAGTTGTTCACGTACACAGCTGATTCCGTTTCTGATTGAGAAGAAAGTTACCAATTGTGACTTCTTAAAAAATCATCTTAACCATTAAAAAAATTGTTCTTAATTGTGATGAAAAGCACATAACATAGAATCGACCATCTTAAGCGTTTGTAAGTGTACAGTTCACTGGCCTTAAGTACATCCATGGATGTCACCACACTCCATCCCCAGGGCTCTTTTCATCTCATAAAACTGAGACTCTGCACCCATTAAACAGCAGCTCGCCCTTCCCTCCTCTCCAGCCCCTGGAGACCACCAACCTCCTGTCTGCCTCTAGGAATCTGATTGCTCCAGGTACCTCACGCATAACAGTGGACTCATGCAGTGTATGTCTTTAGTAACTGGCTTATTTCACGGAGCACGGTGTCCTCAGGGTCCATCCGTGTTGTGCTGGACTGGATGACTTTTACAAGCCAGCAGGGGAAATACCAGGAATGCAGCTTAACTTTTCCGCTGGCGGCGTGCCTCTGGCCCCGGCCCCTCAGCCTCACTTTCCTGGCCCTCATCCTACTTAAGGTGTACAATACCCTGTGCCAAGACTCCTTTTGGATCCAGTTGGTCTAAATCCACAGCTGGAAGATCAGAGAGGATGGGGCGGGGGTGGTGGTGTGATGGGGAACAAGTAGGTGTGTGATACGAAGGAGCAACCATGGCCGTGAACTTCAGAGGGGAGACAGGCGTGTGGACAGACTTGGGGGTGCAAACTAGATGGGGAGAAGCAAAGCCCCCTTCTGTCATCCCTCCACCCAAATATCCCAGCCTGCGCGCATCCACAGGCCTGAGGACATTCGAGGTGATTCTAAGTAAACGTACAGCCCTAAAGGTCGCCTTTGGAGAGGTTGACACTCTGGACCCGTTGCTTTCATGGGGAGAGACAATAGGAGCGAAGTCTGGGGGCCACGGGAGAGTCCTGAGGTCAGAGGGCTCAGGAGAGGGGCTGTGTGAGTTGTCCTTGCGGTGTCGCCAACCACCCCCCAGCCCCGTGGGGACACCCGCGGATGCATCTCTGGGCGGCAGGGATGCGAGTTCTGCCTTCCTTTGTTCAGGCCCAGAAACCCAGCTGAGTGTCCGCAGTGCGCCCCCTTGAGACGCACCAGCCCCTCAGAGGCCTTCCAAGGGTTAAGACGCCAGCTCTCAAAGGAGCCACTTAGCAGAAGTGGGGGCAACTGCATGTCCCTAATAGCTGAGCCAGAGCTGATTTTCCGTGTGAAATTGGAAGATTCTGATGACACCGGGAGGGGCTCGGTCCTGATCGGGCTGCTGGTGGTGAGGCCCCGGCGTGTGGGTGGCCTGTCCCTCTGCCGTTGCTCCTCTAAGGCACCTCCTCGGTTCATCTCAGGCTCCACGAGCGTGAGGCAATATTTGCACTTCATGGACACGCTTTACGATGGGCTTAGCGCCAGAGGAAACTGCTAACTGCTGCAGGCGAGGAAATGATGTGGGGGGCGGGTGTGTGAAAGGAGGGCTCCCCGTGGTGCACAGCCCCTCCTACTGGTTTAGCCCCGCGGCTCCTTCACGCCCTCCCCCAGATCTGGGCCCCGCTGCTCTTTGTCTTGTGCTGCCGCAGGGGCAGAGCTGCAGACCCGCCCAGGAGTGCCAGCATCGCTGGAACCTCCTTCTGTTGTTGACGGGTGATTCGGCTTTTGCTCTGAGTGGAGTGCGTTGGGCGGGGGAGGGGGGAGAGGACTGAATGGTGGGGCGCAGCGGGGCCAGAACTTGAACCTCGGTGAACCTCAGCACACCATCCGGGCAACGCCCTTGCCCTGTGATGCGCACAGACCCGTCCTCCTTATGGGATGAGAGCTTCTTCTTTTTAAAGCGCGCGTTCGCTGTTTTGAGAAGATAAAAACAGGCTCTTGTCCTGGGGTCGTGGCTTGAGAATTTGCTTTTGCTTGAATCTTTGGAGCCAGCGGACCATGAGAGCAGTAATACGGCAAATGCTGATGCTTATATAAGCAACACGCTTTCAAAGAGTGTGTCTCGTGGAAAGAATGGGAGTTGTTTGCCATCCTCAGAAATAATAACGCTAAGTAGCGTGAAAAGAGGCTTATTTAAGAGACATCTGAATATTCAGGGCAGCTTTCTTATTGCATAGATTATGTCTACTGATTTTGATCACCATGATTATAGTTATAGAAAAGAACAAGTCCACACGCAAGGACACATGTCTACATGTGCCTACGCCAGTATCTTTCCATGAATACCCGCGTCTTTCATTGATCCAAGCATTTTTCCGCCTTCAGACCTGGGTAGCCAGTGTCTCCCTGGATACCTCCTCACGTGTAGAGCTGGGCTTTAGGAAATTAGTGGTTAAAAGAAGAAAAAAGCCATCATCCTCATCGTCTCTGAACTATAGTCTACTGGCTGTGAGAGCCGTTAAATCAGATAGTCACGCAGATGGGTCTGCAGACCAAACTGTTAGGAGCCATGAGGAAAGGCAGGGGTGTTAGGAGAATGTGTAAGAAAGATGTGGGGTAGGGCTGGAGGTCAGAGAAGACTCCTAGAACAGGAGATACTGAGCTGAGGGGTGAGATGGGGTTAATGAGGGAGGGGAGGGAAGAACATTCCAGAGGCAGAGAAAAGCCTGGAGAGTTTAGTGGCAGCCAGAACGGCTGCAGGCGGAGAGAACAGGGACCAGATGAGGCCGGAGAGGTGACCTCAGGGCTGTGCTGGACCCGAGGGGCAGGGGCAATGGTCAACAGCGGCCAACAACTGGGTCAGCGTGCCCCAGGGCCCGAGCCCTGTGTGTGTGCATCGCGAGTGTGGGCACGTGTGCGCCACCGTTTCCTGCCGAGCCCCACGTTGACCCTCTGGTTGCCGAGTGAGGAGAAGGGCCTTGGGGAGGGACAAGAACGGCAGGAGTGGGGGACTGACCGAGAAGGGTGGAGGGATTTCAGCCTTTGCCCACCTGCACAGCTGCATCCGTGTGTCCTGGTAGAGCATCCACCCGACTTGGAGACCCGGTTAAGGATTCTGCTCTTTATCCTAAGAGCCGAGGGGAGCGACCACAGATTCAAGCACAGGAGTGATGAGGCCGCAGGTGGCCACTGTGAGCATGACAGGTGGAAGGGCCCACAGGTGGATACAGGGAAGCCAGTTATAACAGCGGTCCCCCACCTTTTGGGCACCAGGGACCGGTTTCGTGGAAGACAGTTTTTCCACGGATGGCGGTTCAGGTGGTAATGCGAGCGACAGGGAGCGTCTGTGCAGCCCAGTTCCTAATAGGCCGTGAACCAGTAGTGCTCCGTGCCCAGGGGTGGGGGGACCCCTGGGTTATAAGATGACAGCAGTAGTGCAGGAGAGACGCGTCGGGGGCCTGGGTCAGGGTCGTGGCCATGGGGATGGATGAGTTGGAAGGGGCTGGGAGCGGGGAAGGAGGCTTCCAGGGACCCTGCTGAAGGGTGTCTGGCTTGTGCGGGCCGTGGAGGCTGGCACTGCTCACGGACAGAAGAAGCGGGAGCAGCCTCGGTGTGTGCAGGGCTGGGCGGGCATCCTCTTAGGGAGGCTTTGAGGAATCCAGTGAAATACACAGTAAGCAATTGCTGTATTTGAGCCTGGGACTCAGATAAGAGGTCCAACCCAGAGAGAGATATTTGGAAGCTACTCAGCACTCAAGGAAGGGGAACACTGGCGTCGGCGCATGAGAACAGGGCCGAGAGGTGTGTTGAATCTAATCCCCCAGTGTCTTCGTGGGGCTCATTTCACACGTATTTATTAAACATCTTGTTTGTGCCAGGTATCAGGCACTGAGCAAGATAGACAAAAGAGACAAAGTCTGTGCCCTCGTGACATTTATCGCTGGTGAAGGAGACAGAGGGTTAGCAAGAAAAGGAACATACATAACATCAGCTAATGAGACATCCCACGAAGGAGGGAGGGAAGGGGGCCTCATCTAGAGGGTAGTTAAGGCAGGCCTCTCTAAGGGGATGATTTAAAAAGAGGTAAGGGAGAACCATGTGCTTTCTGGAGGTGAGTGTTCCTGGAGGAGGGGATGTGCTAAGGTCCTGGGGCAGGGGTGAGCTTGGTTTGTTTGGGGAAGAACAAGAACAGTGTGGCTGCAGTGGAAGGATGGAAAGGAGGCATGGTAGGCGGGGGGGTGGGAGGCATTGCCAGCGCGGAATCTTGAAGGGCTTTCGGGCCTCAGTGAGGGTTTGGATTTTGCTTCAAGGGCGATGGGACGCCTCTGGGAGGTACTCCATCTAACTTAGGTATTTAAGAGATCGCCCTGGCTGCTGTGTGGAGAATCGACTTAGGGCACAG